GCAAAATCCTGCAAGGGATTTGCATTCCAAATCCAACCATTATTTACAACAGCCAAAGATCCTTTTGGATGCTTTTGCGTTTTTTCATTAAGTGGAATACGAGTAAAATACCGCTCAACGAGAGGAACACTAGTAAATTCATCGCATGTAAATATTAATTGAAATTAATTATTCAAATTCTACAAAATTACCAAATTACCGTTGAGTTATTTCTTTTTGGTTTGGTCCATGAGGATCAAGTTTCAAATATTTGGCACGATTCCACAAATTTTCAAGAATTATGATAACTTCATCATCATATAATTTATAAAATGGCAAGTTTACTTCGTTGATAATTGCTTTGAATTTGTTCAGCATAATTTCATGTATTGACTTTTCATTTATTGCCCCCTCCGGTTTTACCTCATTTACTTCTATAGGTTTTATATTGGCAACTTTTTCAGAAGTTATTTCTTTAATCTCGCTCTTGTCTTCTGATTTATTCAATTCATTATTTTTTTTTGATAAGGGTATTTTTCGAAGAAATAGATTCTAGGGTATATTTAGGTTCCGAGTCATGATTATCTTTGGTATTTTCCAATTTATCCGTATCTAATTGTTCCTTCTGAGATGAATCATCAATTGATACATTAGAATCATTATTCACACTTTCGTATTTTGCTTCAGTCTCAATCAACCTCTCAATAAAAGCAAGAGCAATGTCAATATTTATTTTTTTTGTAGAAACGCTGGCCAAAAGTGCCTTTATTATATAAACCTTTATCGGCTAATAATTTGGCTTGTTCTTTAAATGAAAGTGCAGCAATGTCAATATTTTCAAATAAAGACTTGTCAACTGATGCATTCTTATCTAATGCAGCTTGAAATTCACTTAATGCTTCTTTGACATCAATAACATAGAATTCCCATAAACGTATTTTATCAATAACATGCTGTTTAACCCCCTCAATTATTGCTTTTAAATCTTCTTCAGATTGGACGTGAGCCTTATAACCAAGTGAAGAAATATTTTCGGAATATTCTAATAATGCAGTATCTAACTCGTAAGCAGGAATAAGATGTGGAGAATTTACTAAATTATAACCTGAATTTATAAGATAAAGTATTGAGTGAATCGAGTGAAAAAAAATTTTTTTCCA